CTATAGCTCTGAGTGTGTGTGTGTGACTCTATAGCTCTGAGTGTGTGTGTGACTCTATAGCTCTGAGTGTGAGTGTGTGTGACTCTATAGCTCTGAGTGTGTGTGTGTGACTCTATAGCTCTGAGTGTGTGTGTGTGACTCTATAGCTCTGTGTGTGTGTGTGTGACTCTATAGCTCTGTGTGTGTGTGTGTGACTCTATAGCTCTGAGTGTGTGTGTGTGACTCTATAGCTCTGAGTGTGTGTGTGTGACTCTATAGCTCTGAGTGTGTGTGTGTGTGACTCTATAGCTCTGAGTGTGTGTGTGTGTGACTCTATAGCTCTGTGTGTGTGTGTGTGACTCTATAGCTCTGAGTGTGTGTGTGTGTGACTCTATAGCTCTGAGTGTGTGTGTGTGTGACTCTATAGCTCTGAGTGTGTGTGTGACTCTATAGCTCTGAGTGTGTGTGTGTGACTCTATAGCTCTGAGTGTGTGTGTGTGTGACTCTATAGCTCTGAGTGTGTGTGTGTGACTCTATAGCTCTGAGTGTGTGTGTGTGTGACTCTATAGCTCTGAGTGTGTGTGTGTGACTCTATAGCTCTGAGTGTGTGTGTGACTCTATAGCTCTGAGTGTGTGTGTGACTCTATAGCTCTGAGTGTGTGTGTGTGTGACTCTATAGCTCTGTGTGTGTGTGTGACTCTATAGCTCTGAGTGTGTGTGTGACTCTATAGCTCTGAGTGTGTGTGTGTGACTCTATAGCTCTGAGTGTGTGTGTGACTCTATAGCTCTGTGTGTGTGTGTGACTCTATAGCTCTGAGTGTGTGTGTGTGACTCTATAGCTCTGAGTGTGTGTGTGACTCTATAGCTCTGAGTGTGTGTGTGACTCTATAGCTCTGAGTGTGTGTGTGTGACTCTATAGCTCTGAGTGTGTGTGTGACTCTATAGCTCTGAGTGTGTGTGTGACTCTATAGCTCTGTGTGTGTGTTTGACTCTATAGCTCTGAGTGTGTGTGTGTGTGACTCTATAGCTCTGAGTGTGTGTGTGACTCTATAGCTCTGAGTGTGTGTGTGACTCTATAGCTCTGAGTGTGTGTGTGTGTGACTCTATAGCTCTGTGTGTGTGTGTGTGACTCTATAGCTCTGAGTGTGTGTGTGACTCTATAGCTCTGAGTGTGTGTGTGTGTGACTCTATAGCTCTGAGTGTGTGTGTGACTCTATAGCTCTGAGTGTGTGTGTGTGACTCTATAGCTCTGAGTGTGTGTGTGTGACTCTATAGCTCAGAGTGTGTGTGTGACTCTATAGCTCTGAGTGTGTGTGTGACTCTATAGCTCTGAGTGTGTGTGTGTGTGACTCTATAGCTCTGTGTGTGTGTGTGACTCTATAGCTCTGAGTGTGTGTGTGTGTGACTCTATAGCTCTGAGTGTGTGTGTGACTCTATAGCTCTGAGTGTGTGTGTGACTCTATAGCTCAGAGTGTGTGTGTGTGTGACTCTATAGCTCAGAGTGTGTGTGTGTGTGACTCTATAGCTCTGAGTGTGTGTGTGACTCTATAGCTCTGAGTGTGTGTGTGACTCTATAGCTCTGAGTGTGTGTGTGACTCTATAGCTCTGAGTGTGTGTGTGTGACTCTATAGCTCTGAGTGTGTGTGTGTGTGACTCTATAGCTCTGAGTGTGTGTGTGTGACTATAGCTCAGAGTGTGTGTGTGTGACTCTATAGCTCTGAGTGTGTGTGTGACTCTATAGCTCTGAGTGTGTGTGTGTGACTCTATAGCTCTGTGTGTGTGTGTGACTCTATAGCTCTGAGTGTGTGTGTGTGACTCTATAGCTCAGAGTGTGTGTGTGTGACTCTATAGCTCAGAGTGTGTGTGTGTGTGACTCTATAGCTCAGAGTGTGTGTGTGTGTGACTCTATAGCTCTGAGTGTGTGTGTGACTCTATAGCTCTGAGTGTGTGTGTGACTCTATAGCTCTGAGTGTGTGTGTGTGTGACTCTATAGCTCTGAGTGTGTGTGTGTGACTCTATAGCTCTGAGTGTGTGTGTGACTCTATAGCTCTGAGTGTGTGTGTGTGTGACTCTATAGCTCTGAGTGTGTGTGTGTGACTCTATAGCTCTGAGTGTGTGTGTGTGTGACTCTATAGCTCTGAGTGTGTGTGTGTGACTCTATAGCTCTGAGTGTGTGTGTGACTCTATAGCTCTGAGTGTGTGTGTGTGTGTGACTCTATAGCTCTGAGTGTGTGTGTGTGACTCTATAGCTCTGAGTGTGTGTGTGTGTGACTCTATAGCTCTGAGTGTGTGTGTGTGACTCTATAGCTCTGAGTGTGTGTGTGTGTGACTCTATAGCTCTGAGTGTGTGTGTGTGACTCTATAGCTCTGAGTGTGTGTGTGACTCTATAGCTCTGAGTGTGTGTGTGTGACTCTATAGCTCTGAGTGTGTGTGTGTGTGACTCTATAGCTCTGAGTGTGTGTGTGTGACTCTATAGCTCAGAGTGTGTGTGTGTGACTCTATAGCTCTGAGTGTGTGTGTGACTCTATAGCTCTGAGTGTGTGTGTGACTCTATAGCTCTGAGTGTGTGTGTGTGACTCTATAGCTCTGAGTGTGTGTGTGTGTGTGACTCTATAGCTCTGAGTGTGTGTGTGACTCTATAGCTCTGAGTGTGTGTGTGTGACTCTATAGCTCTGAGTGTGTGTGTGTGTGACTCTATAGCTCTGAGTGTGTGTGTGTGTGTGACTCTATAGCTCCTTTGTGTGCTCTGGGAGCAGAATCAGACAGCAAGGCAGCATCAAAAACAGCAGCAAAGGAAAATGTAGAAGCAGAATTAGTGAAAATCTTGTTCCAAAACATACATCAATATAGTCCATCACAGTAGGAATGTCCTGTCTCTAGCACACAGCACAAAAGACACCAGCTTATTCCACAAAGTCAAGTTAGGGTTCCAACGAAGGTTAAAATGAAGGGCAACTGGACTTGGTTGGAGCTCAGTCCAGTTGCCCTTCATTTTAACCTTCGTTGGATAACTATGACCTGGATGACTGAGAATCTTCATAGACATCAAGTTAGGGTTAAAATAGCATGATCAGCATGCCTAGGACACAGACAGGGGGAGAAGTGCAGTCAAAAATCAAAAATCATTCTTATTTCATAATTTATAATCATCTTATCCTTAATTAGTATTAATTATTAATCATTCTTAGTCATTTTCTTTTTACCTAGGTGTGTCTTGTCTTTACCTGTAAGTGCTGAACTGTAGAAACAAGCTCACTGTGGTTAAGATCCCTGAGTGGCAGCATTGGCTGCAGACACCGAGACTATGCACGCCTTGTTCAACTGTTATCTACTGTAGATTTATGACAGCAGGAGAGGCTGCAGGTGTTCAACATCTGCTGTGACAAGTGCATGCTTTGGTCTGCTGTTATCTACTGTTGTTATGACTACATGATGAACTGCTGATGTGTCAGTCTGCTGATATTAAGACTGCATGTTTAATTACTGATTAAGGGTTTGATTGTCAACTTCCAACCTTTGATGCTTACAGCCTGTGTGAGCTTCGAGTGAACTTACTGAAGGAATTCTTGCTTAACTTTTCACATCAGAGAGAGGATGAACAGAAGACGACAGAGAGAGGATGAATAGAAGACGTCAAAAAGATGATAAGCAGAAAGTAGAAGACAGCCAGCAGATCAAGATTACTATAAGAAACCAAGTATTAATGAAAGGCACTGCACTACATGTTATTCTTGTAGTAATTCTTTAAGAAACATAATTGTGTGTCAGATTATGCATGCATAACTTAAAAAAAGGGGATATATAAGGCTGTCTGCAGACCACAGGGTTGACTCAATACTCCGACCTGCAGGGATGTTGGACGGGTTTATCTGTCCTGTATTGGAATAAACTCTTCTAAAGTTAATGAAGTATTTTTTGACAAAGTTTAAAAAGCTGGTGAAGGTGGGGACCAGGCTTAAGTCGTACATCTGACCAAACACTCTCACACTGTGTGTTAGGACTGAGATTAGTTACTATGGTTACAGGGAAGCTGTTTGACTTTGTTAGTAATAGTAAGGGTTGCATGACATGGAACCTATTGAAAATAAATCCACATTTTTAATAAAATATTAATAGAAAATAGAAAAAGCGCTAAAATACGAGCGAAATAGTCTCATTTGTCCAGAGTACTGCTACAATTCAGCTTTGGTTTGAAGTCCCTGGGTCACATGACATGGAAGCTATTGAAAATGAATCAAACATCAAGGCCATGTTTCATCAGTTCAGAGTACCAGCTGAGGATTCAGATCTGTTGAGGTTTATCTGGATGGAGACCATAACTGGATCCTAGTAGAGCACAGAATAGTTGTGCATTTGTTAGGAGCCACATCTTTGCCGAGTTGTGCAAGTTTTACCTCAGATAATTTGGGATAATGGCCCAGCCAAACCTAAACAGGCAGCGGCTGTGTTTTGCGATTTTGTTTGGCGTCAACTCACACTGTGTTTCAGCAGTGGAGCGTTTAGCTACACGTTGTTAACATGTTATTCATTTGTCATTTTGTATGTTTCTACTACAGATAACAGCTCTCTGTGAGCCCGTTCCGTTTCGTTTTCTGCAGGCTAATGTTACATATCCACATGCAGCATTTCAGAATAAAAGCATTCTGCCTGTCAGATTTTGCTTATTCACTCAGGTGTTTTGGATATTTGTGCTTCTACCATGGTTAAGTAGGCTACGTAGTTAAATTGTTTCTTATTTTGACTTTTTTAACTGTGTTTCTTTTTTATATATGATCAGGAGTGTGCAAAGGGTGTTTTTATTCGACCGGATTCTCTATGCCGTTCTGTGTCTGATGTGTTCTTCTTGCAGACCTCCAACACAAAGATCTCCTTTTATGTTCAACCAGTGTTTCTGTTCTAAACAAAGGAAAAGGACTTCCTACGTGTGTGACTGTTCACAAAACATTCATATTCACCATTAACGAAAATAAGCTCCTCTATCAGACTGACTGTCTGTGGCTACAGCAAGGCCTCTTCATACCTGAGAGTGTGCAGGCTCCAGTGTGGATCCTCCAGTCCAGCAGACAGCAGCTTCACTCCTGAGTCTCCTGGATGATTGTAGCTCAGGTCCAGCTCTCTCAGATGGGAGGGGTTGTAGCTCAGAGCGGAAGCCAGAGAAGCACAGCCTTCCTCTGTGATCAGACAGCCTGACAGCCTGCAAACACACAAACCAACACTCAGGAACCATCTGAGGACAAGAGGCGGGTGCTTTTTGTTTCAGATACAAATTTAGGCCACATCTTTAAAATCATGTGTGGCATTTCATAATTCAATAACAAAATTATTATTATTAGAAATGATTATAGTCTGGAAACTAATGCTGAAGTTTAATTAAAGGTCCTTGACAAATCATACCAGCAGACATAATCACAGAGTAGCTGTTTATTCACCAATGTAAATCAGATTTTAGATGGTCATCAGTTCAGTGGGTTAATTAATCCTGACCTCAGGATTTCCAGTGTACAGTGGGGACTCTGCAGTCCAGCAGACAGCAGCTTTACTCCTGAATCCTGCAGGTTGTTGTTACTCAGGTCCAGCTCTCTCAGACCAGAGGACTGGGAGCTGAGAACTGAGGACAGAGTTTCACAGCTTTGCTCTGAGAGGTTACAGAAGCTCAGTCTGGAGAGTAAATAATCAACAAGACAAACATTTGTTTTTAAATCTGAGATTTTGGTGATGCACTACACCGTACATAATCTTTTCTTTGCTGTTTTAATTTAAACACGTTTGAGTTGTGGAAACTAATCATGACTGAATCAGGAATAAACAGACAACCAGTAATTAAAATGACATAATATCAAAACGTGAAAAAGGTTTTCCGTCTCTGCCAAAGCTCATATGTTGTGCTGAACAATGTGTGAGTCTGAATGATAATCAAATACAGGCCACACATGATCACAGCTTCTCTCTCAGAGGTTACACAGACTCATTCTGGAGAGACAACAAGAAGGAAACAAGTAAAAACACATTTATTTTTTTCTCCAGTTGAAAGATAGCAGAGTAGTTATTGATGAATTAATCCCACTTACAGAGCTTTCTTGGAGGCTTTGACCACTGGCAGCAGCCTCAGAAGAACCTCCTCTGAAGCAGAGTATTTCTTCAGGTCAAACACGTCCAGATCTTTTTCTGATGACAGTAAGACGAAGACCAGAGCTGACCACTGAGCAGGAGAGAGTTCATATGTGGAGAGTCTTCCTGAACTCAGGTACCATTGGATTTGATTCACTAGAGAACGTTCCTTCAGTTCATTCAGACAGTGGAACAGATTGATGATTTTCTCTGCAGAGGGAGTCTCTTCAATCTTCTTCTTGATGTACTTGACCGTCACCTGATTGGCTTCTGAGCCATGTCCTGTCTGTGTCAGCAGGCCTCGTAGGAGAGTCTGATTGGTCTGCAGTGAAAGACCCAGGAGGAAGCGCAGGAACAAGTCCAGGTGTCCATTTGAACTCTGTAAGGATTTGTCCACGGCTCTCTGGTAGAACTGTGTCTCTGACTTCTGGGAGGTTGATTGTTCTTCTGCCAGCAGATTGACACCAGAGTTGATGAAGATCAGTTGGACATGAAGAGCAGCCAGAAACTCCTGAACGCTCAGATGGACGAAGCAGAACACCTCGTCTTGATGCAGCCCACTCTCCTCTTTAAAGATCTGTGTGAACACTCCTGAGTACACTGAGGCTGCTCTGATATCGATGCCACACTCTGTCAGGTCTGATTCATAGAAGATCAGGTTTCCTTTCTGCAGCTGCTCAAAAGCCAGTTTTCCCAGAGACTCAATCATCTTCCTGCTCTCTGGACTCCAGTGTGGATCTGTCTCAGCTCCTCCATCATACTTGATGATTTTCAGTTTGGACTGAACCACCAGGAAGTGGATGTACATCTCAGTCAGGGTCTTGGGCAGCTGTCCTCCCTCTCTGGTCTTCAACACCTCCTCCAGAACTGTAGCAGTGATCCAGCAGAAGACTGGGATGTGGCACATGATGTGGAGGCTTCGTGATGTCTTGATGTGGGAGATGATTCTGCTGGCCTGCTCCTCATCTCTGAATCTCTTCCTGAAGTACTCCTCCTTCTGTGGGTCAGTGAACCCTCTGACCTCTGTCACCATGTCAGCACACCCAGGAGGGATCTGATTGGCTGCTGCAGGTCGTGTGGTTATCCAGAGGTGAGCAGAGGGAAGCAGGTTCCCCCTGATGAGGTTTGTCAGCAGCACATCCACTGAGGTGGACTCTGTAACATCAGTCAGGACCTCATTGTTGTGGAAGTCCAGAGGAAGTCGACACTCATCCAGACCGTCAAAGATGAACACAACCTGGAACTCTTCAAACCTGCAGATTCCTGCTTCTTTGGTTTCAGGAAAGAAGTGATGAACAAGTTCCACCAAGCTGTACTTTTTCTCTTTCAGCACATTCAGCTCTCTGAAAGTGAATGGAAATGTGAACTGTATGTCCCGGTTGGCTTTGTCTTCAGCCCAGTCCAGAGTGAACTTCTGTGTTAAGACTGTTTTCCCAATGCCAGCCACTCCCTTTGTCATCACTGTTCTGATTGGTTCATCTCTTCCAGGTGAGGCTTTAAAGATGTCTTCTTGTCTGATGGTTGTTTCTGGTCTGTCTGGTTTCCTGGATGCTGATTCAATCTGTCTGACCTCATGTTCATCATTGACCTCTGCAGTCCCTCCCTCTGTGATGTAGAGCTCTGTGTAGATCTGGTTCAGAAGGGTTGGGTTTCCTGCTTTAGCAATCCCCTCAAACACACACTGGAACTTCTTTTTCAGCTTAGATTTAAGTTTACGCTGACAAACTGGAGCAACAAGTCCTGAATGAAGACACAAAACAGATCAATCAGTGATTTATAAAGTCCATGTGACAGTTTCATTTCCTTATATAAACATGTTTCCCCCCATATGTTGAGCCATCAGTAAATGTCCCGTTTATCCAGCAGCTTAAATCTTTAGAGAAATCCTCTTACTGCTCTGCAGATGCTCAGCCAGCTCCTCCTGCTTCATTCTCCTCAGGAAGTGCAGTGTGATCTTCAGAAATGCCTCTCTGCTGCTCCTCCTCTGCTCTTCATCCTCACTGTCCAACACCTCCTCATCCTCCCTCTGACTCTCAAAGCATTCTGGGTAATCTGAACTCAGACCCTTCTGGATCTTCTTCAGCTCGTTCTTCACAAAAGTGACAATGTTCTCCTCCAGCAGCTGGAACAGAATATTATATGAAGGACACAATCAAAGTCAAATCATGGAACCAAACATCAGATCCATGTTGGACAGACTGACAATCCACTGGTCTAAAAAGTGCAGCGTGGAGATTATTGTGAACAGAATAGATGGAAAAGTAGTTGTTGTACATGTACAGACCATAAATATGGAGTCCAGGTGTGTTTGATGCTGCTGGGCAGACTGACCACTGGGAACCTCTGAGCTCTCCTGGTGGACTCTGTGGGGGAATCATGAAGAGTTCACATTATGTCTGTCCACACAGAGACAGAGACACAAGGTAAAGGCAGTCACTTTGGAGCTGCTCAACTGTCAGAACATGTGTGTAGACAATGTTAAACTGAAGCCAAGAGCTGAAGACTGGTTATACTGGTTCTTCTGGGCAGCTTCAGATGTGAGAATATAAATGTATGTGAAGGAGAAGGAGGAATGCACAGACCTGTATATTGGGGAAACTAAACAACCACTACACAAACGCATGGCTCAACACAGAAGGGCCAACTCCTCAGGTCAAGACTCTGCAGTCTACTTACATCTGAAGGACAGAGGACACTCGTTTGAGGACCACCAGGTGCACATTTTAGACAGAGAAGATGGATGGTTTGAAAGAGGTGTCAAGGAAGCATCTACAGCAGGGTGGAGAAGCCGTCATTGAACAGGGGAAGGGGTCTACGCCACCACTTATCCCCCACTTACAATGCTGTCCTTTCATCACTTCCCAGGAAACTCAACAAACGTAACCTATTGGCCTCAGGTGAAGATACCAACGATGGTCGTTCAGTCTTGGCCACAGGTAGTCTTAACGACTGTAACGACTGTCGTCACAGCAACAAGGAACACTAACGAACCAGCGGTATCAATGACCCGGGATAACGACCCCACTGAGGTTAAATAGCTGTGTTTCCCTGCCAGTCAGTCAGAACTGAAGAAGTCCTTTGGATGAGGGACGAAACGTCTTCCAGTATCTTCAACCAAGTCCAGTTGCCCTTGATTTTAACCTTCGTTGGGTATCCCTCAAGGCTCGATTTTAGGCCCTCTCTTATTTTCACTATACATGATTCCTCTTGGTACTATTTTTGACAAATGCTATTTTGTATCATTGTTACACAGATGATACACAGTTTTACATACCTGTTACACCTGACAGCACTTACTCTCTGAAGAACCTCTTAAACTGTCTGACTGATATCAAAGGCTGAGGTAATCCTATTCCTATTTGGTCATTAGCTGCTTGGTCCCCTGACTACAAACTTGCACAATGTAGTGAAGAATTTAGGTGTTTTTATGGATACTTCTTTGAATTTCAACAAGCAAATCAGTAGTGTCGTGAAAGCCAGTTTTTTATCAGCTTAGAACCATAGCCAAATTGAAGCCATTTTTATCCCATAGAGACCTGAAAACAGTACATGTGCTTATCACCTCATGGCTGGACTACTGTAATTCCCTGTATAGGGGCTGACCCATTCAACACTTTCCCAACTACAATTGGTTCAAAATGCAGCTGCTCGATTTTTAACTGGAACAAAGAATAGACAACACATTACTCCGGTCTTGTCTCACTTGCACTGGTTACCGGTAAAATACAGAATTTATTTTAAAATTCTATTATTATGTTTTTAAAGCCCTTAATGGGTTAGCCCCAATATTCATTACTGATCTGCTAATTCCATATTATGTGCCTAGGTCGCTCAGGTCATCTTCACAACAACCCCTCTTAGTCCCCTTCTCACGCCTTACAACCAAAGGTGACCGGGCCTTTTCTGTTGCTGCCCCCAAGCTTTGGAATAGTCTTACATCTAACATCAAGTCCCGCCCCACCATTGAGTACTTCTAATCTAATTTAAAGACCTACCTTTTTTCTCTGGCTTTTACCTGATTCTGTCCCTTATTTTAATCCATTTTAATCTGACGTTCTAATTTACTTCCTTTTAGTGTTTTTGAATTTTATCTCTACCAAGTTCTCCATATTCCTTATATTAATGTGTAGTGGTGCATTAGTGTTTTATAGTATGGTTGGATACACAGTGTTATATACTCTTTGTTCTTTTGTTCGTTTATACTTGTTTTTTAATGTGTTGTGTTCCTGGAAAGCACTTTGGGTCAATTCCTGTTGTTTTTAAATGTGCTATATAAATAAAGCTGACTTGACTTGACTAAAGTGGGAGCCCAAAACAGACACCATCATAAAGAAGGCCCAGCAGAGGATGTACTTCCTGCACCAGCTCAGGAAGCTCAACCTGCCTAAGGAGCTGCTGATCTACTTCTACACAGCCATCATCCAGTCTGTCCTCTGCAGGTCCATCACTGTCTGGTTTGGATCTGCCACCAAAAAGGACAGGAGCAGACTACAACGGACAGTCAGGACTGCAGAAAAGATCATCGGTGCCAACCTGCCCTCCATTCAGGACTTTTACATTTCCAGAGGAAACGGGCAGGAAACATCACTGCAGATCCATCTCACCCCGGACACAACCTGTTCCAGTTCCTCCCCTCTGGTAGGCGCTAAGGAGCACTGTACTTCAAAACCAACAGACTCAGGAACAGTTTCTTCGGTGAAACCCTTACAAATGGTTCAGAATGCAGCAGCGTGTCTGGTTTTTGATCAGCCCAAAAGGACTCATGTCCCTCCATTACTCAGTGACCTCCACTGGCTCCCCGGGGCCTCCAGAATAGATTCAAGTCACTAATGCTGCATAGGGAGTAACTACTGGGTCTGCACCATCTACCTAAACTCCATAATACAAACTTACGTTCCTTCTCGGCCGCTAAGCTCCTCCAACGAATGGCTCTGCCATCCCTTCACACAAAGCAATCCCAGTCCCTGTTCTCATCTGTGACACCACGATGGTGGAACGAGCTACCACACGCCATCAGAGCAGGGGCGTCCCTCTCTGACTTCAAGAAGCTCCTGGAAACTCTGCAGAGAACACTTCCTCTTATAACACCTCTAACCTCTAACATGCACTGCCTGTGCTCTTCTTCTTCTATCCCCTTACAATTATCTTGTATTGATGGCACTTTTTTGTTAACTCTTACTTCTCTCCCTGGGTATTTACCCCACTGATGCGTCTGCACAACACAAACCTGGAATATTGCACATGTAAATATCTCATGTTGTTCTTTATCTGCAAACAGTTGGATTATTTTTCCTCTATTCTTTTCTTATTCTTATACAACTTGCATTTGTTTATTCCATATTTATATATTTCTACATTTATTTATGTCAACTGTATGTTTGTCTACGTGTAGCACCTCATCACCAAAGCTAATTCCTCGTACGTGTAAAAAACTACTGGCCCATAAAGCTCTTTGTGATTCTATGTGCTATTAGCTCTTATTAGCATTATTATTGCTCTTACTAGTATATATTGTCAGCTGGAGACCTCGTGCAGTATTTGATGCTCTGTTGATGCTTGTATGTTGTTCCTCAAATGTACAGTAAGTCTCTTTGGAAAATGAGTAAATGTAAATGTGGAACTCAGACTGCTGAAGCCTTATATTGTCCTCAGCTGAACTTTCCAATGTCTTTCTACACAGAAGCAGGACTGTGGACTCTGTCCTCCATCACTTCCATTGAAACCCCATCAGGAAGAGATCTCTTCAGGGCCAGTGTGCACAGGAGGAACAATTCCAGCCACCAACAACTCTTTCAGTGGACATATGGGCATGACAGTGTTGTTTAGGGACAGACTGGAAAACATGTGGACCTGTCCTTTAATCCTAATCTGGCTCTGACCTTCATCATCATTCTAGGAGAACATGGACATTAGAAGGACAACTGGTCAGACTGGATTTAATGAGGACAAACATCAGCAGGGAGCAACATGAGGAGGGAGACATGAACATTTAGCTCTGATTGGCCAACACTGTTTAATACTGACAGATACTCACTGTCTGTCAGACACATGTCCTCCTTTAAAATTAATGAGGCGACCCATTGACCAGTCACTGTTGAAGGACACACAGCTGGGCTCAGGTCCAGGTCCAGGTCCAGGTCCAGCAGAGGGTTGTCGTCCTTTAAAATTAATATGGCGAGGATTTGACCGGTCACTCTTGAAGGACATACAGCTGGGCTCAGGTCCAGGTCCAGCAGAGTCTGGTCCCTGCTGCTGCTCTGGGCTTCAACACAACACACACAGAGCTTTGAGAGTGAATAATGATGGTGGAGTGATTTGAGTCCTGGACAGTTAGAGATCCTCATCTCACCTCTGAGCTTTGGTCTGGCTGTCATGTTCCCCACACAGAGTGCTTTTAGAAGGAGGGACTCCCTCCTCTCTGTCCTCACACTGACTCATTCTGCTCAACTCACATCCACTTTCACCTGGAGAGGAAACACAAATCATTCATCTGCACATCAGCTCAAATCCTCCTTTCCATCATTTCTCCTGGAAAAAGATCAGCTGCTCCTCCACTGATTGGCTGCTAGTTTCTGTTTCATATCAGTGGCAGCTGAATGCAGTCAGACAGCAGCGTGAGGCAGAGGAAGCTGCCATCAGCTGCTCCTCCACTGATTGGCTGCTAGTTTCTGTTTCATATCAGTGGCAGCTGAATGCAGTCAGACAGCAGCGTGAGGCAGAGGAAGCTGCCATCAGCTGCTGGACTTCTACTATCAGTCCACTAGATAGAGACATGAAGCTGCAGCACACACACCATGCATGGAGGACCAGCTACATTTACTGAAGGACTGAAGCTTCAGTTTCTTTAATAATCAGTAAAGTAGTGTTCATTTTTATACTCTGTTCTGCTTTGATGTTGGAAATTTTATGTTAAAGTATTTGAATAAACTCGTCCTGTGCTGCAGCTGCGTTTCTTGCGCAATCCTCTGTTGTATAAAGACATTAATGCTGAACCTGGAGAACGAGCCCAAAGTCCACAGAGATAAACTGTCCAATGAAAAGGCTGTTCTGAGATTACACTGGGCTCCCTGCGATGACAGCGACTACGACTTGTAATGGAGTATTTCTAAACTCCAGTTTTGCTGCTTCAACCATCTGAATATTTTTCTGCTTTTAGTAAGTTACTGCAGGGGATATATGACTGAGAGTAGTAATATAGTTTTATATGCTTTACATCTACACTTCATAATAAATCTTCTGCTGCCAGGGGCCCTTTCAGTTGAGGCCCTTGGCAGCGGCATATAGTACCAGCAACAAAGACACGGAGAGACAGCGCTTCCATAAAAATATATATATATAACCACCTACCAGAGTTTGGAGAAGTGAAGCGTCTGCTGAATCTTCTGTAACGACAGATCCTGTTAACGAGAAAACATTTCTGACAGGTTACATTACCTTCAGCTGGAGAAAACTATCTGCGCCACAACCTCCAGAGAAGTGATCTTTGAACAGGAAGCAGCCAGAGCGGCGTGTGAATGTTAATAATTAATCCTATCTGTTAATAAGTTGTGATGAAGTGGCAGTTTGTAGACAGATAACAGAGCTGGAGTTCCAGAAAGCACAGATCCCTTTAACTGAGAGTTGTTACTATGGTAACCTACTTGTCCAGATCTCTGCCTGTTGTGTTGTGCAGCTGTGATGTGATCTGTCTTCCTTCTTGGTTTATTCTGTCTTCTAGGGTTAATTTGTCATTTCTGCTTTAGTCTGTTGTGGTCTAGAGGATTAAGCCGGGATTTTCCAGATATCCTGTCTGAATTAAGCCTGGCTCGGTCGCACATGGCAGTTTATTCTGTACAGCCAGGCTTAGTAAATCCTGGTGCCTTATCTGCTCAGTCAGCAGTCCCGCTGATCAAAAACCAAAGTGTGTTTTTCAGTTATGTTCTTATCTATGTGTTTTGCATATTTTTCATCAGCCTGCATTAAAATAGCAGTTGTGGTTATTAGGTTTAATTATTGGAGAAGAGGGCTGCACCACACTTTGCACACAATGAGCAACAGCGAGGAGGTTTACGTGGAATAAAAGCACAGGTAAAGAAAAATGATAAACAAAAGAAAAAGTAACACGGGCACAGTAAAATAACAGCCAAAGAAAGTGTGGCAGTCTTTAGTGGACCGACTGAATGTGTGAGAAGCTAAAACTATCACTGCTCTGAACTGAAACTGTCATAATTATAATGTTATATTGTGCCTTAGAAGCGAGTACCGGACGTAATGTCGCTCATGAATTGTATGGCACACACACACACACACACACACACACACATGCTCCCAAATTATAGTCCCACTTCAATAAGGAGGCTATATCGTGCACTGTTTCAACAGGGAGAGGACACCACAATGATTTCTGACCTTTTTTCCTCCCTGGGATCATCTGCTGCAGCCTGGGAGAGAAAATAATGATTAACACATTGTGTTACAGTCATGCTGAGAGTGTGCTTTGCAGTAATAACTTCTTTTTGTAGATTTTTACTCAGTGCCTCTTTTTATCTCCGTATCTAAGTCCAAGTCCTGCTGGGGTTTTAGTTGATATTTTATATTATTATTATTATATAAGAGCAAGGGCAAGTTACAAATATGATACAGTATTTTCTATAAGCACCACATCACTGACTTATTCTATATTATCCATATGGACTCAACAAGAACACCATTTTCACACAAAGTTGATCTCTGCCTAGGCCCACTATATATACACACTTTTAAAAAGCATTTGTATAAAATGTTGCTTGCAAAAATGTTAAATAACCGAAAATGCTTTAACACTTTAAAAACCAGGGGCAACGGGGCTCAGGGTGAAACCTCTGATTTCATTTTTTAATTTTCGTTGTTTTAAGCCCAAAAAATCCGCCTATTTTGTCGCTCCGAGTCCCAGCGGGCGCCATCTTGATTATTGCACAATACCCGGGAGCTGCCTGCCTGTCTCTCTTCTTTTTCTGCAGTCTTTTTGTCCATTTTCTGCCCGACCCATTGACCCCATCACTGTGGGACGTTCTCAATCTACAGGCCTGTAAAGCATGGGAGTGCTTTCACTGTTTTTATCAATATTTCAATGTTTTATGATTTGGAACTTGTTGTCTGGACAGAAAAAAGATATCTCCCAATAAAACATTTAAACAGTAAATATTGCCAAAATATGGACATTTGCCTGGTGAATGATAACTGTTGTATTTTAGTTTATTTTCATCAAATTTACAGTTACAATTGCATTCTAGGTGTATTAAATGATATTCAGTTGCACTATAATCTTCCTTATGATGGTTTATTGCATTAAAATATAGCTTTTTTTACAACCTGGCGAGGATGAAAATATCATATTTTTTCTGTATTGCATCTCCATGTAGTCTATAAAGGTAAAATAAATATGTTAATGTACAATGGATTTATATTCTTTGGCTTCTGAGCTTTCAAAGGAGACCAGATTTATGCATCTAGACCTGATGGTTGAGCAGTTATTCCTGATTAATTTTGAGTATGCTATTTTAGGCGTTTTTCCTGGAAAAGGGTATCTGTTTTGAACGTGTGGGTTTATTTGCACAATAAGAAAACATGCAGTGTAAACATAGAAGAAACAAATATACATTGTCCAAAAAAAGTAACTTAATATACATATACAATACTATGAGAAAAAAAGTATCGCTATATAAATAAAAATTTAATTGAATAGACAGTATTTTGATTAGTGGTTGTAATTAATACATTTGCTGAGTGACATATTGATGTCCACTCTTCACTTTTAAGGTCTGACATAATGTTACCATTCAGGTATATTATGTGCATTTTTTCATCATAAACCTTCTTTACACACACAGTGAGTAACAGTGAATAAAGTACGCTGCGCACGTCTTTAATGGGTTTCAATCCAATCCATTTTATTTACATAGCACATGTAAAAAAACAAAGGTTTACAAAGTGCTGAACAAGAAATAAAACATAAAAACATTTCCACATAGAAACACATAAATCAACAAGACTACACAGCTCTCATGCTGGGTTAAAAGCCAGGGAATACAAGTGGGTTTTAAGACGGGATTTAAAACATTCGAGGGTCGGGGCCAATTTGCCCTGTGGAGGTAGCTCATTCCACAGTTTAGGGGCTGCTGCTGAAAAAGCATGGTCGCCCCTGGGTTTTAACCTGAATCTTGAAGAAAGCTGTCGATGGGCATTTATCTGAATTACTTCCACCTGGCTTGACATAGTAACACCTTCTGAGCCTGGTTTGGCCTTGTGAAACAGAAAAGGCCAGGATGCACTTATCACACTAGGTCAAGCCTAGCTTTATCTCTTATCCTGGATTTCTAAATTCTACTTTTGTGAAACAGCCCTCTGGTCTGTCACTGTGTTTTTGGTTTCTGTCTTGTTGTGGGGTTTGCCTGAGTTGTTGTGTTATCTAGTCTGGGTTTCTATTATTCTGCGTTATTAGTTGGGTCCATGTTTGATTTGCCTTGTGTTCAGACTCCGTGTTTGCTGTTCTGTTTAGTTCAGGCTTGTTTTATAGTTTGCAGTCTTTGGTTTGCACCTCTATCTGTTGTTATTGTGTATCTGGTTATGATCTGTCTGCTTGTGTTTATTATTATTTTGGTATTTTCCATATTTCTGATCCAGAACCTTTTTAATTGACCTTACTAAACTAAGTTACCATAGCAACCACTCTCCGTTAAAGAGATCTCTTCTTTGTGGAAACCAAAGTAACTACAAACCGACATGTCCTCCCCCTCCAGCTCTTTTCTCTTTATCAAAGCTTAGTTACAGATGTGATTAATGATGAACTGTTTCATCTGAACCTCAGTCTGCTTGTTGCCAATGAATAAAGACCCGTAGACCTAACACAGAAACAGGATGTTATGTGGACACAACTCTTGATGACGCTACATCCCTGGGCTTTCTGTCCACAACCTCTTGAGCACAATACAATCAGTTGAGCTTTAGTGTGGTTTTATCTTCATGTTTCTGAACCATCTGTCCTTAAGGTCATATCAGCACTAACATGTACATGTGATGTGCAGCATAGTTCTTGTAGAGACACTGAGTCTGTCTGTGTGCATGAAGTTTTGACTACTGTGATTAAGGAATGGTTGACGAAGTTTACTGCTGCTCCTGACATCCTTCACTGATGTCAACTCCCTTTGACTCAGTTTAACAAACTGTGATGCTGCATCAGAAACTCACAACAATTCACAACACACAAAAAAAGTTGAAATCACTAAAAGTCTTTTAGAGCAGTTTGAAATTCTTATCTTCTAATGAGTGTTTATTTCACCCATGAGTTGTGTGCTCAGGCGTGCGTTTGTATGCACCTGCTTCAGTGTCAACATGTGTGTGTGTGTGTGTGTGGGTGCTCTCACGTGATTTATGTGTAGATTGTCATCTCAGCTCCTGTGTCCAAACCCATCCGTTCCTTCTCTGGTCTCGGTCTCCCCGCCTCTAGTCAATCAGCCATTTGATCATTTTCATTCTCAGGATGATCTCTAGCCCAGTGTCCAGTATTGTCAGATATGCCACGTCCTCTTCCTCTGCCTCTGCAACCACGACCCTGGCTCCTCCTCTTCCTCAGTACTGGTCCTCGTACACCATCAGCTATGCCGTTGGCAGCCTGTCTGTAGCTGTGTGTTTTGTCGTTTGAGAAATTTTAAACAGCTTCAGTTTTTCAACAGTCTCAAGATTTTCAAAATCCCAGGTCACATAGTTGTGTTTCACTTCTGGCTGGTGCCATTGATGACGCAGTTTCTCAGGTGGGTCAGGATTAGTGTTTCTCCCACTGGCTCACAGTTCGTTTGAGCCTGTGTGTGCTGTGGATTTCTGTGAGTCTGCTGCGAAAATGTTCTTCTTTGTATGGTGGAGGAGTGAGAGTGACAGGTTCCCCCGGCCCCTTCTCCCATGGCCTCACCCAGGGTGTCGAGTTGAGCGTCAGTTTTCAGAACGGCATTGGCTTCCTGCTTTCTAGCTGTAGTTTTTGCGCTGACAGCTGTTGTGTTGCTGTCTGTGTTGCTGGTAGTAACAGAGATACTGATACAGGCTGTTGCTGTCTTCTAGGGGGGGCGGACCGGGTCCAGATCAGGACCTGGTTTGACACACTGAAATACAGAAATGTTAAGAGATGCTGTCCTTGCATTTTTTCCCCCTGTCCCTGACAAGTGCTTCCTTTAAACAATCTGCTTTCCAGTCTGTTCTAGGTTTTCTCTTGTCCTTAAAAATGGTGAGTGTCTGAAATAAACTACAAAATTGCATTTGTTTTTCTTTTGTTTTTCTTTGTTTTTTCTTAGACTTTCAGCTTAGATTGCTATTTTGATTGTACCATCTCACACGTGGATCCTTAGTTAACAGGGCCGAGCAGAATTACTGCAGATTCTCTCCGCTGTTTTGACCGGTTGAGCAGGTCTGTGTAGAACACGGGGGTCTCCGCTGCTAACCATTTGGGGCTTCGAACAGGGCCGTGCAGAAATACATTTTTCTCCGCTGTTTTAATT